ATTATTATCCTAGCTTTAAGAAAAATAAAAAAAGAGAGATTGTTATGTTTCCTTTTTTCAATGGCACAATCTAATTATTTAAAATTTGGAATTCATGTCTCATTGCTTCCAAAAGCAAGCAAAAATAAAATAAATTTGATTTTGCATGAAGTTCTCTCTCTCTCTCTCTCTCTCTCTCGCTCTCTCTCTCTCTCTCACTCACTCACTCTCTTCCTTTTAATTTACATAAGATTATGTTTATTCAAATTAAATAATTTGGAGCATAATCCTAACTTACCCATTTGATATTACATTTTGACACATGATAATTGTATTGTTATCAACCATGTCTCATAGATCATCACTTACCCATTATGATGAGATGTGATAAAAATATTCAACGTCATAATTGCAATCAACATTCATGAACAATTTTACATGCTTGAACATAAAGTAACTTTATGGGGTAATATGGTAACGGATGTAAGTAAAATTAAATTCAAATCTTGTCTCACAAAATAATAATAATAATAAAAATTCAAGATTAGAAAATCCATCTCAACTTTATCCTAAATCTCATATTTACTATTTTTTTTTGTGGGCAAAATTTGATATCATTCTTGGGAAGAATAGATCTATTGCCATAAATTATAATATCATTCTAGGGAAAAATAAAATCAATAAAATGAAGCTATGACGAAATAAAATTTGAAAAAATTAATATTTATGTCGATATAAGTTAAAAATTAGAACCACAATGTAATATAAACAGTTACCAAATCGTGGATGGATAAAGCTTAAACTTTTTGGTTTAAAGCACAAACATAAAGAATAAATGTGCTTAACCAAATCTACACTCAATCAAAGTAAATAATTTATAAAAGCTATTCACAAATCATAGGGATTGTCCGGCATTACTGGTTGTTTACATTATTTTTTAGGAGGCATAAAACACATTTTATATCTTGCTTTTTTGTTTTTTTGGAGTTTAAAAAAATACTTCAAATCGTTGATGACCGAATATCATTAGTTGCATAATAATTAACTCCAATCTGACTCTCAGTTATAAGTCATTGAACTATTCTGAAGGAGTCATGATATAGTATCTTAAAAAGCCATTTGCTTGAAGGGGTCGTGAAGTAGCATCTTGCAAAGCCATTTGCCTAAAGAACTCATTAATTTTTTTGAAATAGTCTCCAACCGACTAAGGGTCTGTTTGGGGCAACTATAGTTGTTTGAGAAAACAACTGTGACGCTACTGCATAATAAATTGTTGTTTAGAAAGTTGAAATAGCTATAAAAAAAAAAAAAAAATTATTTTCAAAATCTCAGATTTGTAATGACACTGCAACGTCACCGAACCGCTACCCTAATCACCTTAAGACATAATACTCATCCTCAATATAAAAATCATTAAGGATCTATTCCAACTAATTGAAAACACGTTGAATTTATTCTCAACTTATACGACCAATTACACTAAGTCTAATCCATGAAGTGATCTACGTAATTATATTATATAATCATATCCATAATATCAACACCGATCCTCATCTAATGATTCAATGGTCAGGTGTGGGGATGTGCAATGTCAAACATTTAGTTGAAACTCTCTCACATCAATGTTTATCATAAAATACTCATATGATTATTTCTCAAATCTCACTTTTCTTAAAACTCAATTTACTTATCTCTCACCATCTGCCCTTTATGTTTGATTCATTGATCTCATAAAGTTTTGGCACCCTTTCCTGAATAACACTGGGAAGAAATATTGACAGCCAAGACACACACACACACATTTTGAGCTCGTTAGCTTTATTTCATGTTCCATAAAGTCAAACAAGTATCCGACTAACAGATAATTCAACGTGTTAACATCATTCAAATTAGACCATTGGCCGACCAAATAAAATCCACACTTTTATTTAATAATAAACTCAAAAGCATTTAATATGTTAGAGTTCACGATGATTCCCCATTGTTGCTTCTTTCACAGACACACTCAACAAAGAATTTGCCTTTGTCTATACAGCACATTAATCACACATTTATTATGTGTGGAAATGCATCTACCATTGCTCGTCACGACATCATCTTAACAATTAGGTGCTGCTACGCGCCATCTCTTATTACTGTTTTATTTCATGAAAGTTCATAACTGCATGTAATCCTGATATCTCATGTCGAGCAAAAATTTATTTAAAAAGCACAGAACTTTCAACACTCTGCTTTGGAAAGAGAGACCAGAAGCCAAAGGCTCTAATTATTAGAGTTGATGGTGATGGTGTAAACTTAATTTAATGGTGTGCATGCGTGTTTTGTGGATAGCATATATCAATATTAGTGTCGGTGATATGTATCAATTTTGTTCGAGGATAATAAATATCAAGTTAATTAATGTTGAAAGTGTGCACTTACGTTGATTCAATGTTGTACGTCATTGTTGCCGGTGACGACATGTTTTAGCGTTAATGTTGATGACTAGTCATGAAATCTAATAACGGTAGTCTGCAGAAGTAGAAGATAGTCAGACAACACTGATCAAAAGACTGTTGCAGATGATAATAATTGGCTTATTAATGTGGCTAGGTGATAGTGATTGCTAGCAAAGATCGTTGGCCATGTGATGATAATACTGCAACAATGGTGAAGCAATGACAATCAAATGATGACGGCCAAGCAACAGCGATCGAGTGATGACAACCGGATAATAACTGTCAAACAATGATAGTCAAGCGATGACAGCTTTTGCACCTATCTTTAGACATAGCTATGAAATTATTCTAATATCTAATTAGCTCTCTTGAATTTCAAGAATCTCCTTCATGTGAATAATTACAGCTATTTATAAGTTCTAGAGTGGCTATAAGATAATTTTAGCTAAAATCTCAAAAAATTATGAAATGGTCGATATTGATTTTAATAAATATAAATTATTGTATTGGTATTTAAGTACCTTAATGAAATATAATTGAATAAATCTTGGGCTTGTTTGATTCTTTTCATTGAGATGCTTCCTTTCATTGTGAACACACAACATTTGAAACTCATTTGGTCAATTTATAATATCATGAAAACTTTAATTACTCGGTAAGTATTTGATTTGGATTCATTTTAAACTTTATTGAAATTAGTTTTGATGTTGCTAAGTTCGTATCATCAAAACATTTGTTGAAATCAATATTTAAATCATCTTAAATCTAATTTTAGAATTTTTCTATTGTAATCTAACATAAAGATTAGTATTGGACATTTATATATATATTAAGAAAAAAATCTAAAAAAGATGCTAAATTAGAATTTTAATATATAACGATTATACCTTGGAAATTTACATAGAGACCACTTATTTCTTATGTATTTACATATTTAACACAAAAATTTTAATTTTTTTAGGTATTACCACCTAACGTAGCTATGCTTGAAAAATTTGTATTTCATCTTTTTAGAAACTTTTAAAAGTAATATTTTTGATGTGATAAAAAAGAATTAGTTGGTATACATGTAAAATAGAAAAGTTTAGGTGTTAGATGTGCAGATATATAGGATTTGGACGGTGTATGAAAATGCCCATATATTTTTTTATGTCATTTTCTTATATTTTTTTATAAACAAACTTTTTTTTTTATATTTTTATAAAAAAAAAAAAAATATATATATATATATATATAATCATAGAATATCCCTTAATAATGAGTGAATATGAAAGATGAAGTTCTTTATCTACACTTAAGATTAGGCAAATATTATAATGATTATCAACATCTATCATTATGTAAATTTCTAACTTTTGATGATGGCCTCAAGTCTATCTTATGCTTCAAGCTCCTCTCAATGTGAAAAAAAAGGGATTTTTTTATAGTTTCTAAAAGTGACAAGTCAATTATTTTTATTAAAATTCTCAGACTCTCACTCAAAAAATTGTGTTATTTCGTTTGACTATAAATTATTTTTAAGTATTTAAGTACCTTAATGTCATCATAATTAAATGATTTTATGTTTGAATTGGATACCTCTATGCAAGATGCTTATTATGATTATAAACATATCAAATACATTGATTGTTTATCACTTCATATAGTATTATAAACTTTCTAATTAAGGTTTAAGTATTTTAATTAAATTAGATTGGCATAATTTTGTATGTAAATTGAGTCATATAAACTAGGTTAAAGTTGTTTAAGTTGATTCAATTTTAACTATGAGTTTAAGTGTAATTTTAGATCAACTTTAGCCAAACCAACCAACGAAATAAACTCACGGGTAGGGCCAAATCACACCTAAGCCAACCTTAATTTCCCCAAGGTTTAAAGTGGCATGCCCACTAAAATCCTAACTGTAAAGGATGAGCTATAGTATGATAGAGTTCACTCGGGACTGCAAGATAGAGATTGAGCCAAACTACACCATGATCATTCAGACCAGATCATGCCTAGCCAATCACCTAGGGGCTCTAGGAAGGGAACCCAGGCTTAGAGGAGACAAACCAAAAGCCATATAGAGAATAAAAAAAAATTATAAATTTGAATAATTTAATATAATTATGATATTCACATACAATAAAAAATAATAAACATGCACATATTTAAAAACATAATTAAAATTAATTTTAAAATAAAATTGATACTAAATTACAACACTATACTTTAATTTAAGATAATTAAAAAAAATTACTATAATATATAAGAGTAAAGTTTTTAAATAATCATGGTCATTTATATGGTACGTTTTAGTCTCAAAGTTTACAGAAATGTTAAAATTTGAGATAACCACACTCTTTAAATTGGGGAACTGTGAGACAGATAGAAAATTATTATAACTCAATTTTAAGATAATTAAAAATTATTTTATTATTTTTATAAATATGAAGATTAAAATGATCCTATATAAATAATTAGGGATTATTTTGACAGTTCAATATATAATATATTAAATGAAGAAATCGAAAATATATTTTTAGCCATTCGTAAGCTCACATTTGAAAGCTGAGGGCGCTCAGCAACTTGGTTCACCCATCCCAAGGAGAGCAGGGAGAAAATATGAAAGTCCCGGCTTTAAATCGCGTCGGTTACCTTTACCACTCCCTCATTACTCTCCCTCTCTAAAGAAGAGCGAAGCAGGGCAACGATCGCAGAGGAGAGAGAAAGTGTGTGCGGGTGTAGTGGAGGAGTGTTGAGGAAATAAATTCATAGCAGACCCGGAAATTAATCGGTGCTTAATAAGGGGGGATGTTGAGTGAAATCGTCCCGGATTACCGCCGTTCTCTGCGACGCGGCAGCTGCTCTTTCTATTTCTGTGAGGATAGTGGAGGAACACCAAGAGGGAGCGAGGCTGCGAACCTGGAAGCGAAGGATACAGGCTTCCAAACGCTCTTCTCTGCACTCCAAGTTCTACTTTGCATTGGCTCCACTTGGATTAAGTTGAGCAGTGGGGGAGGAGAATAACGGCATTACTCTGCTTCTCTGTGAGAAAAAGGGGCAATTTTGATAGGAGCAATGGATTCCGGAGATGAGCAGGATGTGTCGGTGCCGAAGGGGAAGAAGAAGAGATACCACCGGCATACCCCTCGCCAGATTCAGGAGCTCGAATCGTATGCCGCCTCATATTTCTCTTCTTTACTCCTTTGTTATTGGTTTTTTTTTCTTTTTGAGAAACCGGTCCTTAAATGAAAGGTAAAAATGGAAGACTTTTTTGGTGAGATTGCAGAATTTTCAAGATGTGTCCGCATCCAGACGAGAAGCAGAGGATGCAGCTAAGCCGGGATTTAGGTCTGGAGCCACGACAGATCAAATTTTGGTTCCAGAATCGCAGGACTCAAATGAAGGCAAGAAATTTTTCTGTTTTTTTTCATGTTGTTGCTTTTTTTTTTTTTCTTTTTTTTTTTTTTTTTTTTTTTTTGTTTGAAAGATCGATTCTTTGAGGTGAGGAGTCTCCTTGGCTGTTTCAGGTTCAACATGAGAGGTCTGATAATTGTGTTCTGCGCTCGGAGAACGATAGGATCAGATGCGAGAACATTGCTATGAGTGAGGCACTGAAAAACATAATCTGCCCAACATGCGGGACCTCACAATCTTCTGAGGATTCCTACTTTGATGAACAGAAGCTGCGCATGGAGAATGCCAGGTTAAAAGACGAGGTGATCTCCTATCCTTATTATGAAATTAAAACTCTTTTATTTTCTTACATCATATAATTCTAATTAAGTACCAAATGAGAATCATCATCTCATCGTATCTGTCTGTATTTTTCATTTAATGGATTGTCATTAGGCTAGATATTATTGTAAAATGTGTTCTTGGTTGTTTTTCTTGCCTTGAACTGGCATTGTTGCTTTTTCATGATTAGGGTTAGGTGATTTTTATTTATTATTGAATCTTATTTATTGATAGTTGGTTGCAGCCACTGAGGTGAAATTTAATGCTCCTGGTTCGATTGTTCTTAAGTTTCATTCAGTGCAATTCGATTGAGTTTTGCTAAACTGCACATCTGAGGAGTAATAATGTTAATTGTTAGAAAAATATGATGAATTTAAGGAAGGTTTATTGTTCCCTATGTTGATCCAGTAGATCTTTTCAAGAGTTTTATTGCATTATTTCGTCTGATTAATCTGTTGAAGCTTCAACTGTAGGAAGATGATTTGTTGACCTTTAATCTACATTATCATTAAGATCTGATCCCTTATGTGATAGAACCATAGAATATCTGAATTGGTTGTCAACAGGGATGTTTTTGTAATTCTAGTTCTAGCTGCCAATTAGTCATTTTTACAGAGGCAAGCTATTATTTTTCTAGTTTAAAACTTCATATTTTTTTCTTTGTTTCAGCTTGATCGGGTTTCATCAATTACATCGAAGTATCTAGGAAGACCTGCAATGCAGCTTCTTCCAATTCAAACTTTATCAGCTTCTTCAGTCGATATTGCCGTTGGTGGCTATGAGAACACTGAGTTCCCCCCTTCCCTCGACCTCGATTTGCTTGGCATTGGCCTTCAATCGATGTCATTCCCATTCCCAACAGTTTCAGATGTCGAGAGGCCGATGATGCTGGAACTCGCAACCCGATCGATGGACGAGCTCATCAGGCTTGCACGAACAAATGAGCCTCTTTGGACTAGAATTGATAGCGATGGCAGGGAAAATCTCAACCTTGAAACCTATGATGCCTTGTTTCCAAGGCCAGGGCAGCAGTTTAGGAGCGCCGATACTCGTGTCGAGACTTCACGGGGTTCAGGAGATGTGATCATGAATTCCTTTGCATTAGTTGATATGTTTATGGACTCGGTGAGATATCTTTTGATTCGTTTGCTAATTATTTCCCTTTCTTTGTTAATCCAATTACATTGCTGTTTGTTATAGAGCAAATGGATGGAGTTATTTCCTACAATTGTGTCAAATGCAAGGACTATTGACGTTCTCATGTCAGGAATGGATGGAAGCAGGAGTGGAGCCTTAGTTTTGGTGAGCACAAAGTGCCTAAATTGCCATTCTTCCTGTTCTCCCATTTTTTCTTTTTCGTCATCTAATTCATGAGGATGCAGATGTTTGGTGAATTTCTGGGGCTATCGCCAGTGGTTCCGTCTCGCGAGTTCTGCTTCCTCCGCTACTGTCAGCAGCTCGAGCAGGGATTATGGGCCATTTCAGATGTCTCTATCCCTTCTCCAAAAGTTCATTTTCTTCCTTCCCCAAAGCGCAGGCTGCCTTCTGGTTGCTTGATTCAAGACATGCCAAATGGTTATTCTAAGGTATTTCTTCATGCCATGAATGTGAATATTTATTAGTTTTTTTTAAATGTTTATCTGAATCTATTATTTTTAATGAATAAAGATTGTATGGGTTGAACACATGGAGATTGAAGAAAAGAATCCAACCCACCAGCTCTACCATGATTTAGTTGATAGTGGGATAGCATTTGGAGCGCAGAGATGGGTTGCCACTTTACAACGAATGTGTAGGTGGATTTCGTGCCTAAATTCGCCAAGGGATCTTGGAGGAGGTATGAAATTATATAATTAATGATATAATTAGAGAGGTTCTTAGTGAAAATTTTCATACGTTGGAGGGATATAACAGTAAAACTCTTTAATTATATCATTAGCTCAGCAAGTTATTCTCCTAAATCTACATTTATTTTTGGTCTGGCATTCAGTTATTCCCAATGATGATGGAAAGAGGAGCATGATGAGGCTTTCTCAGAGAATGGTGAGCAACTTCTGCTCTACTTTGGGTTCATACAATGGCTACAGATGGACTGCACCGGCCGGACTGAATGATGTTGGCGTTAGGGTTACCGTTCACAGGTGCTCCGACCCCGGACAACCTAATGGAGTATTTCTCTGTGCTGCAACTTCCTTATGGCTACCTTACTCCCCTCATTCTGTCTTCAGCTTTTTGAGAGATGAGCAGTCTCGGGTTCAGGTTTCCTAACATTTTGCCTTCTTTTTACAAAATTTTTCAATATAATCTCATTTCAGCATTGTTTGTCTCCCTATTTTGTTCTCCCTTGGTGTTTAATTTATAATTTTTTACTCATATTTTTGTGATGCAAACTCATGGAACTTCATTTTAATTGAAGTGGGATGTTCTATCACGTGGAAAAGCTGTTCAAGAGGTTACTCGCATACCGAATGGTCAACACCCTGGAAACTGCATCTCTCTTCTTCGAGTAATCTCTGAAAACATTATCTCCATCCATCTCCTTTTCCCAAATGTTTTTTTAAAGTAGCATTTACATACACAGCACACAATTCTTATGTATTTTCATCTCCCATCTAATAATTCATATTTGTGCATATGACAGTCGATGTTTAATATCACTTCAAAAATAGTCATATTACCACTTTTTAAAAGTGAAATACACATTTTCATGCATATGTTTGATGCACAAAGTGCTATGCATATAAATATGAAAGCAAGTTTAGGTGTGATACATGTAAAATAGATTAGAATTGTATGCTAGGTATGTAAATTTTCTTCTTTTTTAAACTCACTCACACTAAGATTTGAACTCAAGTCATTGTGCTTAGAGAAACAAAACACATTTATACTTTCTCTACAACTGATTATTTTGTCTCCTCCTTTCATAAAATCAAACAGGCTACCATGAATCCTCCCAATATGAATGACAGAAGCATGCTTATACTACAAGAGAGCTGCACGGATCCCTCAGGTTCACTTGTAGTCTATGCATCTATAGAAGTGCCTTCCATCAACATCGCCATCAATGGAGAAGACCCATCGTTCATCCCCCTTCTGCCATCGGGATTCGTCGTGTTTCCCGATGGCAGGTCGGGTGCTGGCATTAATGCAACTTCAAGCTTGAATCCGCTGAGAGTACCGTCTGGCTCAGTGCTCACCGTCGCCTTTCAGATCATGGTGAGCAGTTTGCCATCAGCGAAGCTAAGCCATGAGTCGGTCATGACGGTTAACAATGTCATCAGCACAACAGTTCAGCAAATAAAGTCTGCTTTGCGTTCTCTTGATCCTTGACATAAAGGAATCTAATGATATTCTGAAACCATTGATGTTTAGTTTAGACGAAATACAATTTGTTGTTGTAGTTTGAGTAAAAATGTAAATTGTTCACTGGATTTGTGAAGCTCTGCTTTTCAGTTGAATATAGTGATGTTTTTAGTCTGCTGCTGAGATTGTTGGGATAGGTTCTAGCACTTAGTTTTTTAAATTCCTTGTGTGTTTAAAAAAGTTTAGCTGAATGGAGATATGTTTTTCAGGATTTGAGTTCTAGATATGTTGTAGTTTCTATAATGTTGTTGGAATTAATCAAAAGAAAAGTTCTTCACTGATGTATTTTAGTTTTTTTGTTCCATTCTCTTCTTATTGCTACATGGCTGAACTGAACTGAAACTAACTGTAGTAAGAGAAAGCAAAGCTGATAGCTCATTCATATCACTTAAAAGTAATGTTAAATCTGTAGGATATGTGAAGTCCAAAAATATTTGGTCTCTTTACATTTGCATCTTTAATTGTAAAAGCTTCTGTGAATTAAATATATATATACGATGCTGCATATAAATATATTTATTTATATAAATATGCATGCACAACTAGAGCCGTAAAAAAAGCTCGTTGTTCGCGAACAATTCATGTTCGGTTCATCAATGAGTTTTTGTTTGATTCGTTTAATAAGTAAACGAGATGAACGTGAACAAATTTTTTTTGTTCGGTTAGTTAAACGAACCAAACACGAACAGTGATGCGTGCGTTCGTGTTTGAATCGTTATTGTTCGAAAAATAAAATAATTTAAAATAATTATATATAAAAAGTTAATGATATTTAAAAAAATTAAATTTTATAAATTATAATATATAATAAATTAATAATAATAATATATTAATATACTAATATAGATATTATATATTTATATAATATAATTTATATAATTAATATAATATATTATTTATATATATTA